TGGTCTTTTTGAGACAGGGTCTCCCTGCAGCCCCAGCTGTCCTGGAACTAACTATATAGACCAGGCTGGCCTTGAACTCACAGAGATCCACCTGCCTCTGCCTCCCGAGTGCTGGGATTAAAGGTATGCGCCACCACAGCCCTGCTTTGTTTTACTTTTTTTTTACTTTATTTATTATTTTAATTTTATGGGTATGCGTGTATTGCCTGCATGTAGGTAAATGCACCCATGTCGTGCAATGCCCGCCGAGGTCAGAAGAGGCTGTTGGATCCCCTGGAACTGGAGTTAGAGACAGTTGTTAGCTGCCATGTGGGTGCTAGGATTGGAACCCCGGTCTTCTACAAGAACAACCAGTGTTCTTAACTGCTGAGCCATCTCTCCAGCCCATTTTACTTTTTTTTAACCTGGAACTTGCTATGTATGTAGTCCAAGCTGGCCTTGAGCTTGCTGTCTTTCTATCTCACCCTCTCGAAGACTAGGTTTATCTGGTCCAAAACCCTTTTTTTAAGTGCAATAGGTAACCTCCGTATTTCAGTAAAACCTTTAGTGGTATTGTGGAGGATAGATCAAGTGGGTAACATATCTAACAGCAGAACTGCTAATAATGTGGCTTTTGCAGTATTGCAGGCAAGATAGGATGTTTAAACTCAAGTAGTAGCATGGGTGGCAGAAGAGAGAATCAGTTGAGGGATGGAAAGCTATAGTGAAAAGATTCTTAGAAATCTTGAAAATGACAGTTTATGAGTACTTACTGTGTGCCAGGTACTAGGCTAAGTGCTTTAGATAAAATTTCTTGTTCAAACCTCATTAGAAGCTTATTTTCCCTATTTCACTTGGAAGAATATTCAGTTTACAAGAGGCTAAGAAATCAACCCATGATCACATAGCTAGTAGATGACTGAAATGAACTTAAATGATTTAAACCTGGCTTCTTTTCTTGTGCTTACCCATTATTTACCAGTAGAGGAGAAAGGTAAAAGGAAAGTAGATTAATATCTGACTTGTAGACACTGGCTATAGACCTAGAGAAGAGTTGTAAAAACCTGTAAGTTTAACTCAGAATGGCTTTAGGATATCCTTGGCACTTGCAAAGTTACGAGTCTTACAGTCAATACTATAATGACCTCAAATGGAGATATAGTTTGAAGTAAAGTAGTGTATTTGTGTCTGTGAAGACCATGGGTATAAATTGTTACTCAAAGAATATATATAAATTAGAGAGAGTAGAAAATACATCCCTGAAGGAAAAAAAGAAATGTCAGCCTGGTGAATACAGGCATTGTAGCAGAGGCCATTGTTCTCCATTAGAACCTTCAAGAGTTCTTCTTAAGCCCAACTTTAGAACAAAACGAAGAGTACTGCAGAGGCCAAAGGGAGAAAATAGCTTTCAAGAATGCTGACAGTAACTGCCACTTGCCATTAAGATTCAAATGAGATGGGACTGGAGAACTGGCTCAGCAGTTAAGAGCACTGGCTGCTCTTGTGAGAGGACTGTATTTGATTTCTAGCACCCACGTGGTGGCTAACAACTATTTGTAACTCTAGTTCCAGGGTAATCCAATGCCTTCTTCTGACCTCTTCGGGCATTGCACAACATGGGTGCGCTTACATACATGCAGGCAGTACACTCATACACAAAAAAATAATAAAGAAAATAATTTTTAAAAAGGTTCAAGCCAGGCATGCTGGCACATGCCTTTAATCCCAGCACTCAGGAGGCAGAGGCAGGTGGATCTCTG